GTGAGAAAAAACAAAAAAATCATTCATAAGTACTGAATGAGTACAAAAAAATGACTTATTTTGCAAAAAAAAAAAAAAAAAAAAAGGACTAAATGTGTACAAAAATATTAAGGACTAAATGTGTACAAAGTGAGAAATATATTACCCTATTAAGTCATTTTTACCGGGTAACCTGTAGTAGCCGGTCATAAGGACTGAATGTATACAGTTTAACAAGTTGAAGGGGTAAATGTGGACAAAAAGAAAACTTAGTGACCAAATGTGTACCAATCGAAAAATATATTACCTTTTTAAGTCATTATCCCTCTTTAATGATGACTATCTTTAGAGACCGACCAAATCCACTGTTAATATAGACCAAAAGGACCATATAAATACCCCTTTTTCCTAACACTACCCCCTCAATCATTATTTATTTGGTACCAGATTTGATATCAAATACTTTTATAACAACTTTTTTAGTATTTTACCCAATCTATATACAATGTATTCTTTTAAAACATTAAATAATGTGTCCTGCAAATAATAAGAATATTAGCCAATGTATGTGATGCTTCATCTGCCCCGTTTAGAAGACTGTGTAGGACATGTATAATGAAAATTTACACAAAAGTTATACAACAATAAATCTATAAATTACTTTTATAAAAAAATGAATAGAAATTTTTAACATTAATCAAAACAATGTTTTTAACTTAATACATTCACCCGTTAAAGCAAATCACAAACATCATACAATTGTCGGTCACCTTTCACAGCTACTAACCACTATCGTTGGATACCTCCCGTCGGATTCTACTGGAAAGATCCACATAGTGAACGAGGAAGACACCACCTTCAACCCACTGTAGGGTAACCACCGTTGCCGGCCACCACTGTTGGGATCTACCGGTAAGAAAGAGACACTACACGAATCTACCCCTGTTCCGACGACTTTTTTTAACCCCATACCGACAACAAGTCGTCGGTACAGAGTCGTCGGAATAGCCCCGTCGGTATAGATGGAAAAAGTCGTTGGCATAGATGTCGTCTGGATAGCTACCCCCTATACCGACGACATGTCCTCTGCAAAAGCTTCGTCGGGATTGATTTTCGAAAAAAAATTTATTATTTACTTGTACCGACGACATACATGTCGTCGGGACAAAGGTAGTATCAATTAAAATCTGATTAGCAATTATCACACCATTAAATCTATGTCCAATTTGGTAAAAAAACGAAAGATTTAGTATAGAAACAACCAAGGATTAAAATGAAGATACCCAAATTCAGATTCTATTCTATTCAATATGAACCATTATCATACAAAGATTCATAAACAATTAATAGCCAAAATCAAAATATGTACTATTGTAGTCATCATCAACAAGCACTTCCTTTTTTTTTTTTTTTTTTTTTTTTTTTTTTTTTTGAGATGATTCATTCTCATTCTCATCCTCATTGTCTTCAAGTGTTTCTGCTTCCTGTAAATCATAAGGTACACATCAGATTATCCATTTATAATCACTACAAATCAAGAATACACAAAACCAAAAACCCCATGAAATACTTACAGTAAATCATAAAGTACAGATCATATTATCCATTTATAATCACTACAAATCATGAATACAGAAAACGAAAAACCCCATAAAATACTTACCGTTTTTTCATTTTCATTTTCATTTTCATTTTCAGCATCATTTGGGGTCTCCAAAACCTTTTGGTATTCTTCTTTAAGTTCAGCAACCCTTGTAGTAAAAGGTTTTCTTTTCTTAAAAAAACATAATCATGATTTGGAAAACAAAAACTCATTAGATACGTTTCAACAAAAGAGCTAATTAGACAAGAAAGAAAAAGAATGTATGGAATTTGCTGCTCACTTCTTCTGTCACAGACTTCCACTTCTTACCCTCTTCTTTTGCAACCTATAATTGAAAATATAAACAAAAATCTTAACCAAATCGACAGAGAAAACCGCACCAAACACAAAATAAACTGGAGAAAACTATTTACCAAAGACCGGCAGTGAAAAAGGTGGCGCAACGGTGAAAAAGGTGGCCAGAATCGCCTGTGACTTGAGAGAATCGGGAGTTGTGCGGTGCTGCAAATGAGAGACAAATCTGTTTACATAGAACTCTATACTGACGACATGTAGTCTGGATAGCTTTTAAGAAACAACATCGTTTTTCTTTTTTCTGCAACAAGAATTATAAATAAATAGAAAATATATTTTTGTAACCTATACCGACGACATGTCGTCGGGATAAGTTTTCAGAAAACCACGTAAACCCTTTTTGTTTCCTGCCTAAGATATGGCGACGACAAGTCGTCAGCATAGATACCAAGGTCAAAAAATTATGGTCAACTAGTTTAATTTGTAGCGATGACTTTTGTCGTCGGCATAGAGGTCGTCTGTATAGCTTAATTTGTAGCGACGTCTTTTGTCGTCGGCATATAGGTCGTCGGCACAGTGTCTTAACGTGAACCACCAAACTTATTGATGCTCACCGTCGTAGAAGACCACCGTCGGACAAGGGTGATAAAGACACCACCGTGAGAAAAACCGTCGTTGAAGCGTCGGAGCAATGGCCGGAAATCACCTTGTCGCTATAAGAAAGACCTGAAAAAGTCAGAGACCCATCGGAAATCGCATTTGACTCTCTATCTTGGCGGCTGAGTTTTATATCTTTGAATTTTATATCAACACCCCCATCAATTTAAAGATATTTTATTTTAAACCTGAATTTATTCCTTTTATACTTTATGCGTTACTTATTTATTTTGATAAATTATTTTCTAATAACACATATAAAACCCATCTTAGAAAGTTATTGGTAAATATTTATTCTTTAATTATATATTTGTTGTATTTAGTTTTTTTATATAAAAAATAAGATGCAAGTTAACTTGATAATATGGTTTATTGCAAAGTTTATTCCTTTCCAGTTATATATTAAACAAAATTTATTAATCAATAATTATAAATAAAAGTATAATCACTATAGGTAAAAAAAGTTAAATTATTACCTAATCGCATTTTAATCATTTAAAGAAAAAGTTATTATAATAATTAGGGGTATTATTTGAAACTAAAGGGGTATGAATAGCCTTAGACTTTTAAAAATCATAGACCGGATGTAAAGAAATCAACAATCTAGATGGACCAAATTTTCAATTATTCTATTTGTTAATATTAATAGCTACAATAAAAATTATTATCAAATCAATATAAATTAAAGACAATCTATTTAATCAAATATATTTAAAAATTTTCGGTAGATTAGAGACAGCTATAGATGTAAATTATTCGGTAGGTAACCATTTAGTTTTCATTCTAAAATTGCCTAAAGCTAAAAGATTGGTGGTTTGTTTTTGACATATTAATTAGCGATGAGATTACGATTATCAAATTCCGTTGCTAATACTCTATGTTCTGACGGGTTAGCCACATATTAATTCTTTAAACCGTTGCTAATACAAACGGATTTTTCCTATGGGTAAAATCTGTTAATCATAATGCACGATATGTTGAATTGATGCTAAACATGTGCACTTATATATAACGCTTCCATTGACCACAACTCAAAAAAAAATAAATAGAGATTTTAGTAGACTTGGTTTAGACTGACAAACTAATGCAGAAATATACGATATCCTTATCATTCTTTTCTTTTTGGTTTTTCGCAAACGTTTTCTCTTCTACTTTAATCAGTTTTAGTGGATCAATTATTCGTATGCATGCTTTTTAAATTTTGATGGATCAATCATAGTTCGATTTTCCATGTCTAATTGATTTAATTTGTGATGAATGTGGTCTGTGTATATGGATTCTCTCGACATGATTGACATGGATAAGCTGGCAAATACATTTATATGTTTGTGGCTAACAAACCCTTGATATAGGAGTGACCAGTTTAGCTTATATATACCGGATATAGACATTGTTTCCACAAAACTGGCATATTCATATTTTTATATAGAATTAAAACGCAACGTCAATGTCTGAAAATAATATTAATGATTCAAACACCATCTAGTGATAGTGGTTAGCAGACAATGCTGATACAATTAATATGGCCAACAGCTATCAGATCATAAATGTACTACACTATTATATTATTTGTATGGATGAATCGAGTGACGTGGTTCCCACAAGTAAGATAGGTAGAAATGAACGAATATCTAGCTAGAGTGTGGATTACGTTAAAGCAATCGCCAAAATCTGTTTTCATGGGCAGGAGATGGCGAGGAAGGATTCAAGTAATCATATAACGACGATAGTAAAGAGTGTGGCTACTTAAATTAATGCTTCGATAATAGTTTCAATTAATCAATGATGCTAACAATATGTCAATATGGACTCAGTACTCATGGAAATTTAAGTACAAGACTTTGTAATGTTTAGAAGTACCTACCTAATAGATGTGAACAAAACTCATTAATTTTTACAAAATATTTAAAATCATTTTATCTTTGAAATCATTTTAATTTGTGAAGAATCATTTTACAAAAAGGTCTTTGCCGTGTTGCGCCGGTTAAAGGCCATCAACCAAAAGTATGGGTGGTTGTGTGATTTCTCATATAAAATGTCAATTATTGTGAGATGGTTTAATGTGATATTTTTTTTTTGTTTTCTAAAAGTACATGGATTCTTGTATGGAAAACATATATATTGGAAATTACCATCTTTACCAATTAGTTACCTTTATGATATATTATAATGATCAACTTTTTCATGGTCCATACGGTCTTCTGTCACCTATTAAATATTTAATTATTAATAAATGATATTTTTTTAACAATGTGTCCAATCAAAATGTATTCTTCTTTCACCATAATGTCGAGTTCGAGGATTTTGTCATTTTCGGAACTAAGGTAAAAATTCTTCACAAGTGTAAGAGCCATTTGTATGAAATAAGTTAGGTGAGCGACCAAAGAGGCCATTAAGCAAACAAGGTAATCTTCACCACAACATATAACAAAATCCCTACACTCTGGTTTCTCTAACTCAAGAAAAAATGGATTCCTCTCTTTTACTTCACAACATTATATCTCTCTTATTCATCTTCTTTACCATTAACTACTCTCAATCTCAAACTCCAGTTGCTAAACCGAAGCCTTCAGCCCTTTTCGTGTTTGGGGACTCCACTGTTGATGCAGGAAATAACAACTTCATAAGAACTCCTATGAAAAGCAATTTCCCACCTTATGGTAGGGATTTTATCAACCACATTCCCACCGGAAGGTTCAGTAATGGCCGCCTTGTACCTGATTTCGTCGGTAAAAATGACTGATTCAAATGGATTTTTTTATTTTTTTTTGTCTAAAGCTATTGATGTATTAATTTCTCTGTTTTCTTTTTGCAGCTTCATACGTCGGTGTCAAAGAAAGTGTCCCAGCTTATTTGGATCCCACTCTCAGGATTGAGGACCTAATGACCGGTGTTTCATTTGCATCTGCCGGTTCTGGATTTGATCCACTTACCCCTACACTTTCCGTCTCTCTCTCTCTCTCTCTCTCTCTCTCTCTCTCTC